CTGACCACATCACCCAAGTCTTGGAAGGCAGATGCAGGGACTGTGAGAATGAAGACCTTAGGCCCACTGTAGGAGAGGATCTGGTTCGAGACCATCTTAAGAACCTGAACGTACACAAGTCCATGGCACCTGAATGAAATCCATCTGCGGGTCCTGAAGGAGCTGGCAAATGAAGTTGCTAAGCCGCTGGCCATCAGATTTGAGAAATCATGGCAGTCAGGTGAAGTTCCCGACCACTGGAAAAAGGGAAATACAACCGCCATTTTCAAGAAGGGGAAAATGGATGACCCGGGGAATTACAGACCAGTCAGTCTCACCTCTGTGCCTGGCAAAATCTTGGAGCAGATTCTCCTGAAACGCATGCTAAGGCACATGGAAAACAACAAAGTGCTTGGTGACAGCCAGCATGGCTTCACTGAGGGGAAATCCTGCCTGACCAATTTGGTGGCCTTCTATGGTGGGGCTACAGAACTGATGGACAGGGGTAGAGCAGTTGATGTCATCTACCTGGACTTCTGCAAAGCGTTCGACACTGTCCCACACGACATCCTTGTCTCTAAACTGGAGAGACATCAATTTGATGGATGGACCACTGGGTGGATAAAGAACTGGCTGGATGGCCCCACGCAAAGAGTTGTGGTCAATGGCTCAATGTCCAGCTGGAGACCAGTAACGAGTGCTGTCCCTGAGGGATCGTTGTTGGGACCGGTCTTGTTCAACATCTTTGTCAGTGACATGGACAGTGGGATTGAGCGCGCCCTCAGCAAGTTTGCCGATGACACCAAGCTGTGTGGTTTGGTTGATACCCTGGAGGGAAGGAATGCCATCCAGAGGGACCTCGACACACTTGTGAGGTGGGCTGATGCCAACCTCATGAAGTTTAACCATGCCAAGTGCAAGGTCCTACACCTGGGTGGGAGCAATCCCAGGCACAGCTACAGGTTGGGCAGAGAAGAGGTTCGAGCAGCCCTGAGGAGAAGGACTTGGGGGTGTTGGTCAGTGAGAAAATGAACGTGAGCCAGCTTCAGTGTGCGCTCACAGCCCAGAAACCCAACTGCATCCTGGCCTGCATCAAAAGGAGCGTGACCAACAGTTCGAAGGAGGTGGTCCTGCCCCTCTGCTCCGCTCTCGTGAGACCTCGCTTGGAGCATTGTGTGCAGTTCTGGTGTCCTCAACATAAAAAGGACATGGAACTGTTGGAACAAGTCCAGAGGAGGGCCACGAGGATGATCAGGGGACTGGAGCACCTCCCATATGAAGACAGGCTGAGAAAGTTGGGGGCTGTTCAGCCTGGAGAAGAGAAGGCTGTGTGGAGACCTCATAGCAGCCTTCCAGTATCTGAAGGGGGCCTATAGGGATGCTGGAGATGGACTCTTCATTAGGGACTGTAGTGGTAGGACAAGGGGTAATGGGATAAAACTTAAACGGGGGAAGTTTAGATCGGGTATAAGGAAGAAGTTCTTCACTGTAAGGGTGGTGAGACACTGGAATGGGTTGACCAGGGAGGTTGTGAATGCTCCATCCCTGGCGGTGTTCAAGGCCAAGTTGGGTCGAGCCTTGAGTGACATGGTTTAGTGTGAGGTGTCCTTGCCCATGGCAGGGGGGTTGGAACTAGATGATCTTAAGGTCCTTTCCAACCCTAACTATTCTATGATTCTATGAATGGAATGGAGCTACATCAGGGGAAGTTCGGATTGGACATGAGGAAAAGGTTCCTCACTGAGAGGGTCACTGAAACAGGCTCCCCAGGGAAGTGGTCATGGCCCTAATCCTGTCAAAGTTCATGGAGTGTCTGGGGGCTGCTTAGTCCTATGGTTTTTAGGTAGTCTCTGAGAAGCAGGGGCTTACGATGAGTCTGATAGGTTCCTTCCAACTTGACATATCCTATGATTCCACAATAATACCATTGGATGCTACTGCCAGGATGGAGCCAGCACCCTCTGTGCTGCCCCCAGCCATGAGGACACAGCTCCCAGCAATGGTGGGTGGCCCAGATGAAGGCAAAAGGGTCTTTTTTGTTTTCCACAAAATGGGGGAAAAAATGACTTTTTGTCCCAGAAGGCTTCACCTCGTGGTCTAGGGGCTGCTGGGTCCAACTGCAGCGATGTGGCCTCGTGTAGAGATGTGGGGAATGGGGACAGCTCACCACACTGGTGCTTGCTGCAGGACTGTGGTGCCACCCAGAGCCTGCAGCCCCTCCAGGTCTCATTAGCCTCTGCTCTCTGGACAATCATCTGCCTCCATCTGTCTCATCCTGAAAACGGGAGCCCTTTCGGAATGTATTTGTGGGGAACTGCTGGGCATGATCAGGCATTGTGGACCCAGGTCCTCACCCAAAGCTGCAGGAGAAGGGTACCAGGAGGATGTTCCATGGATGACAGTGATGAGTCACTGCCCACGTCCTCAGGTGACGTGCCCTGAGACAAAGAGGTTTGATTTTTGCAAAGACAAAACACACAGATCCCATGTTGCTGCAACACATCCCTGAAGTTGCTGGTGTCACCAAGATGTGCACATTGAAGCCAACAGCAAAGTCACACTTGGAAAAGCTTTGCCAGCTTATAAAGCCCGGTTTTAGTGCCAGGAGTGGGTTAAATCTCCAGCCCTCCGGCACATACCAGCAGCTCTGGCCAAAACGCCTACAAAATTGCTTTACCGGCTGCAAGCGGAGCCACTGGTTCCAGATTCCCCAGACCAAAATCCAGGGAAGGGGCATGGGAGAGCAAAGCATCCCCCACCTCCATTTTTCTGGGGTTGTTTCCAGCAGAAAATACCAGGCACAGAGAGAACATGCACAAGCATTTGCAGTGTTGCTTTAATAGGATTTCTTTTTCTCTGCTCTGCTTGAGGATGGGGGAGAACAAGGTGTTGGGGTCCCATGATGTCGTTTCCATGTCCTGTGGAGCACAAATACTCTTGGCTGATTTCATTTTTTTTTTTTTTTTTTTCCTGCTGAACAGCATCCAGCAGAGGGAAAAATATTCAGGCAAAATGGTGTTTTGGAGTTTTGTTCTTTGGTCAAGAGCAGGAAGGAGTCAGCTCAGGATGTGTGGGGATGCAGTGAGCAGTGCTGTGTGTCCGTCTGGGATGCGCTCACCTGTGGAGACACTCAGGTGGGGATGCGTTGAAACAATAGTACAAAGAGAAAAGATGATTATATTTGAAAATCTGTTAATCAGTAGAGGGTTTCTTTTGTATTAAGAACAAGTTGAAATTCTGCTATTGTGTTACTTTAGTTACTTTATAACTAAATATTACAATGGTAGCTATAATGATAAGCAATTAACATAGCCATATATGGGGAAGTGTATATGGGTGGATTTAGGGGAGTATTGTGAAACTCTACCGAAGCAGAACTCACGAAGGTACCAGGAGTAGTCAAGTGAAAATAAGAGAATGCTGGCGTCCACATAATGGTTGGAACATGTCCAAGGAACAAAAAGTGAACAGGACAAGCTGAGGAAGCCTTCTTACTGCATCCAAGGAAGACTCCTTACTTCATCAGGACGACCACCAGAGGGGGGCTGCGCAAGCGCAGAAGAGGCTGATGTCGTAATAGACTGATGTGACAATCCTTGATGCATATGTATTAGTCAATGATGTAATCTGTGTTGAATATGTATTAGTGACGACATTTTTAGTGTATAAATTGCGAGCGCGATGTGACGGGGTTGAAGCCAGATTTGGGCGCGTGCCCCTGGTTTCCCAGCGCTGCAATAAAGCGCCTCATATAACCATTCCAGTGGTTATGTGTCAGTTCTCACGCTAACACCATGTCTCAGTCTCCAACTCATGGATTTGGAGCTGGTTGATGCCAGTTCTGCAGGAGCAGCCAGAGCCACAGGGAAGAAGGGTCTGGCCTGCTCCAGCGCTCCAGCAGCACTCACACCCTGAAGAGGCCCAGGCTGGAAAGAAGCTGGGCCCCAGGCTGGAATCTGGCTGATGCATGCAAACATCCGTGCGACTGCGTGTGAGCATGTGTCTGTGCACCACACTCACACAGCAAGCGTCCTCCTGTACATGTCTGCAAGCACCCATGAGCAACAGCAATACTGTGCGTCTGTGTGCAATCTCTTGCATGGCAAAGCGCGCATGCAACACGCGTGCATCCGTGCAAACACCCAAACCACGTTTGCATGCATGCCTGGGCACAGACACTTCCCTGTCACATACATGCACGTAAAAACGGTTCCAGAAATACCCACGAGCACGTTCCCTCGTTTTCAGGGGGCAAAACACCCACCTGCACACGCACATGCAAGCATGTACCTACGTGCAGCACGTGTGCACTGCCTCCCACGAGGACAGCCGCTCGCACACGCACTTGTGCAAGCCCTGCACACAGTAACACGCCAACCCCGCGCCAACAGCAGCACGAATCCCACCCCCCCGGAAGACAGGACACGCACTCGCGGCCCCGCGCTGGGCTCTGGCTGCGGGACCGGCCCCCGGCGGGAGGGGGGAGCAGGAAGAGGAGGAGGAGAAGAGGCAGGAGGAGGAGACTTGACCGCAGCGTCCCGGCTCGCGCGGGCTCCCGGCAGCGACGACACCGGTGAGGAGCGGAGCGGGACGGGACGGGCGGGACGCGGTGCGGGGCGGCGGGGAACTTGCGGGAAACTTTGTCGGGAAGGAAGGAGGGGGCGGTCGAGCCGGGACGGGACGGAAGGGACAAGACGGGACGGGCGGCTTCGCGCTGTGACTGGCGGTCCCAGGCCCCGCAGAGCCTAGCCCAGCGGGACCGGCCGGGCCGGGCCCCGAGGGACCGGCGGGCAGCGGCGGTAGCGGAGGAATGCGGCGGGTCCCGCGGGCCCCAGGCGTCACCGCCCGTGGCGGAGTGACAGCGTCCGCGGCCAATGGGGAGGCGCGGGGGGCGGGCGGCTGCGCCCGACGGGTGTCCACGACGGGTGGGGCGGGGGAGGGGGCCCGCGCGGCGTCTGTGGGAGCTGTCGGGGTGCTCTGGGTCCATCCTAGCTCCCGTGGGTGCTGCACAGCCGGATATGCTGTGCCGGTTCCTGCCGGGACCTGAATTCGCTCCCCAGGGCAGCAGGACAACACAGGCCAGGGCTCGCCTTGGTCTTGTCCCAAAATTTCATGATTTCTACCCAATATCACAAGATACATTAACTTTTTAAGGCGTGCAAAGCCCAGAATTCCACCAGCCGCTGCTCCACCTCTCATCCCTACCAGATTTGGCAGCCGATCAGAGCTGCACCATCCCAAAAACCTGTCGGGAGGCTGTGGGCTGGCTGTGGCTGGGTCTGTACTTATCCCATTAGGACACAAGCAGCCTCCCATTACGGTTTCCCAGAGCGGTTTACCCGTCTGGCCACACCGGGTGTGAGGTCCCTGCTGGGACGTTGGTGGGCAGCACAGGCCCTTTGTAGCTGCATCACTGGAGAGCATGCCCAGCTGTGCCGTGCAGCCTCCCATCTCTCCAGTTTGGCAGCTTCATCTCCTGTTCCAAAGCTGTTCCTGCCTCGCTGGCAGTGGATCTGTGCCTTAGCCCTCACTGGAACAGTTGAGGTGCAGTTGGTTTTCCCCTATCACAGCTCCGGGGATGGTCTTGGAGGCCCACAGACGATGTCATGTGGGTGACCTGATGAGGATGACATCATCCAGATAGCATGTAGACCGTTGTTGCCTCTGGTGTGCTGGCAGAGGTGTCTGGGCCAGGCTGGGGCAAGCTTGCTGGTGGCTGTGGTCCTTGCTGGAGACCTCACTGATTCTTCACGGGAGGACCCTGTTGGGGCCATCACCAGAGACCTCTTTGTAGGGTCCTCACCGATGTCTTTGTTGGAGACCTGGCTGTGGCCATCATTTGGCTCTTTGCTGGAGTCATCACCAGGGAACTCACTGGGGACGTTGCCAGTCCTCACTGGGGAGCAACATGGTCGGGTAGAAGGTGTCCCTGCCCATGACAAGGGGTGAGACTGAATGATCTTTAAGGTCCCTTCCAACCCAAGCCAGTCTTATGATTCCATGATTCTGTGACATGTCCGGAGTCCACACCAGTGACCTCGTCACTCAGTGTGCCACCCCTCAAATCCCCCAGGGGTCACCTGACCCCCCCTGTTTCCCACAGGTCCCTTGGCTGGTGATGGCCATGTCCTAGGGGAGACCCACCATGAGCCAGAGCGGGGCCTCGCGCCTGGCGGGCTCGCCTCCGCTGCCGGGGGGCTCACTGCTGGCGCTACTGGCCCCTGAGCCCTCCCCGTCCCCCCCCAGCGGGACACCCTCACCAGGACCCCCCCCGGCACTGCTGGAAGGGGACTGGGAAGGGCGGGAGGAGCTGCGACTGCGGGAGCTGGAGGAGGCGCGGGCGCGTGCGGCGCAGATGGAGAAGACGATGAGGTGGTGGTCGGACTGCACGGCCAACTGGAGGGAGAAATGGAGCAAGGTGCGAGCTGAGCGCAACCGGGCCCGCGAGGAGGTGCGGCAGCTGCGGCATCGCCTGGAGGCCCTCACCAAGGAGCTGGCCAACCTGCGCCGCGACCGCGACCACAGCCGTGACCACGACCACAACCGTGAACGTGACTGCGACCGGCTGCATGGGGAGGAGGGAGAGGCTGACCCAGAGCATGAGCCCGTGCGGGATGTGGGGGCCGAGGTGCCCCCGAAAGCCAAGGTGAGGGGCATGGGGTGTCTGCCTGCAGGTGGTGGGGTGCCCACCCCACACACTGCCTGTGTGTGTGTCCCCAAACCACCCCTGTCTGCAGCTGGGCCACAAGACTGCTCCCTGCCCTGACTAGGAGGGCTGTGGGGGTGCTCAGACCCCTCTCAGAGCAGTGGGGGGGCTCAGACCTCTCTCGGAAAAGTCATGGCTCAGACCCTGTTGGAGCAGAATTTTGGCCTCAGACTCCTGTCAGAGCAGTACTGGGGGGACAGGCCCCTCTTGAAGCAGCACTGGGTGTCAGAACCCTCTAGGAGCAGTGTCATGGGGGTCCCGGCCCCCTGTAGCCCTGTGCAGGGTGGTCGCATTAGCAGTGGCTCTGGTCCCTTTCTTAGGGCTTTCCCTTTGGAGGTGTTGGGCAAAAGTCATTGTGCCGGTAGAGGGGACAGTGACACCAGCAGTGCTGATGGCACTTCCCAGCGACAGCTACAATGCCATGGTGTCTGTATGGGCTTCTGGCAGAGGTCTGTGCTGAGGGGGGAAGGAACCTCTCCGCCAGCCTCAGAGCGTCCCTGGGGACAGGAGGGAGAGATGCTTCTGGGTTTGGCTGGAGGGATGTTCTTGCTTATGGGGTGAAGGGTGGGCGTTGCAGGGGGTGGGAAGCCAGGGCTGTGCCTTCACCCTGTCCCCTGTGTTGAGCCACCTGCGGTGCCACAGGAGCTGGAGCTGATGGAAAACATCTTGGCAAGCAAGCAGGAGGAGAGCTGGGAGCAGCGGAGCAGCCGGGCCTCCTTCACCCGGCAGGAGCGGAGCCGCCTGCTCTGGGAGGATGTCAGCATCATGGAGGAGGATGCCACCAAAGTCACTGCCCTCAAGTTGAGGCTGGATGAGTCCCAGAAAGTGCTGCTCAAGGAGCGGGAGTGAGTGCTCAGGCCGTCACCTTTGTGGGGTGCCAGCTGAGCCCAGCATGGTCCCCACCAGGACGGGACATCTCATGGTATCCTGCTGGTTGTCACCAGTGTTGTCTCTCCTCAGGGACAAGCTGGCACTCAGCAAGAGCATTGAGAAGCTGGAGGGCGAGCTCAGCCAGTGGAAGATCAAGTATGAGGAGCTCAGCAAGAACAAGCAGGAGATGTTGAAGCAGGTAAGCAAGGTGCCTAGGGAAGAGGGGTGCACCAGGGGGTGGCCTGTCCCCCAGTGGGCAGCATGTCCTTGATGGATGGATGTGGTGACCCATGGCCACCTCCCCAGCTCCAGGGTGCGCATTAAGGGTCTTAACTACTGCTGTTGAGCCAGTTGGTCCATCCACAGAGGTTGGGTAGATGGGTGCAGGCAGGGTTCCGGTGGTACAAGATGGGTGTTCGCTGCCCGCCTTGGATGCTGTCCCCCTCCTAGCTCAACATCCTGAAGGAGATCCACCAGGACGAGCTGGGGCGCATCTCCGAGGACCTGGAGGATGAGCTGGGTGCTCGCACCAGCATGGACAAGAAACTGGCTGAGCTGCGAGCAGAGGTTAGGACGATACCCAGTATGGGGATGAAGGGAGCAGCGAGGGGGGTCCCTGCTGCCCCCCAGGCACACCATGTCCCTGTCCCAGATGGAGCGGCTGCAGGCAGAGAATGCGGCTGAGTGGGGCCGGCGGGAGCGACTGGAGACGGAGAAGCTCAACTTGGAGAGGGAGAACAAGAAGCTGCGGGCGCAGATCGAGGACCTGGAGGAGATGCTGGCTCGCAAGCGGCGCCAGACTGCCAGCGCCCTGGACACCGACCTCAGAACCATTCAGGCCGAGCTCTTTGAGAAGAACAAGGTGCTGTCACATCTCTGACACCCCCTCCCTTGGTGACCCTGTCACTTCAGCGGTGGCTCAGCATCCCCCAGGACCTTCACAAACCCAAACTCTGCCACCACCCCTCCTCTGAGAGGTGGCAGTGACCCCATCTTTGCTCCATCAGCTCCTCTGTCATGGGGTAGGGTGGTGGGAGAGATCCCTTGAGAGGAAGGAGGGGGCACCCAGCAGTGGGGTGGCTCTTGCCCGCTCAGCCCTCCATCACATGCCCATCATAGGAGCTGGCTGACCTGAAGCATGTCCACACCAAGCTGAAGAAGCAGTACCAGGAGAAGACAGCTGAGCTGGCCCATGCCAGCCGCCGTGTGGAGCAGCATGAGGGTGAGGTGAAGAAGCTGCGCCTGAGGGTGGAGGAGCTCAAGAAAGAGCTGGCCCAAGCTGAGGACGAGGTGGGGAAGCTCGAGCTGGTGAAAAAGGGCTTGGGGTGTGCAGCTCCACTCAATCACTAACAGCCCCATCCCATCCCACACCATCCCGTCCCATCCCATCCCATCCCATCCCGTCCCGTCCCGTCCCATCCCATCCCATCCCATCCCATCCCATCCCATCCCATCCCATCCCATCCCACAGCTGGATGAGGCCCACAACCAGACGCGGAAGCTGCAGCGGTCACTGGATGAGCAGACGGAGCAGAGTGAGAGCTTCCAAGTGCAGCTGGAGCATCTGCAGTCACGGTGAGTGGGGGAATGGGGTGGGCTGCAGTGGTTACCACCAACATACTGTGGTGGGGTGATGTTCTTCTTACCACCATCCATCAACCACCATCTGCCCTGTTGAGCACTGGGCTAAGCATGCCCAAAGTGCCTCCAGCATCCTAGGAGGGTGCGCAGCCACCCTTGGAGCAGCCTTCCCCTCCCGGTTCAACCAGCACAAAGCTGCCCGCAGACCAGTACAGCCCAGTTTGACGCTACTTGGGGTTCCACCTGCCAGTACCAGGGTTAGGGCAGGCTCCAAGCATCCCACACTGGTTTGGGGAGGCAGAAGGTGGGATTTATGCCCTTGAAGACATTCCCTAGACTTACTTTGCCTCCCCAGCAGCAAAGAGCTGAAATGGCCGTGGGAGATCGATGCTGCATCTCCAAGAGGTGCTGGAGAGTGTGTTTGTCATCTTCCTTTATTTTATTTGCTCATCGTCATTAAATCATAGAGAAATAATGGAGACTCCATCTTCCTCCCCCTGCACTCCACCTTAAATAATTCATGCTTTCCAGTAAAATGCAGCAAACTGGTCAGATCTGACCAGTTCCTGGGCTTTTGGATTTCAAATTTGATTCATAAATTTTCATGCAAAGCTGAGCAAGAGGCTAAAACTGCCACAGGGTCCTGCGGATTATGGAGTCCAATTTTAGGGGCCATCTCTCCCTGCTCTGTACCCTCTGTGGGTCTGCAGTGCCCAGCGTGGTGATGTTTGGACCTGGAGGGTTGTAGCTGCTGCCTGGCTTGTGTCAAGCATCATCCAGAGCTCCCTGGCCCCACACTGGAAGTGCTGGTGCTGCAGGGATGGATCCTGCCAGGGTGCAGGGTGCTGAAGGGGCAGGGGGGGCCGGTCTGTGCGCACTGTCCCCCACCCCAGCAGCTCCCCCTTGGCAGGCTCCGGCGGCAGCAGAGCACCCCACTCTTTGGCAAGATGCGCAGCACCCGCTTTGGCCCTGACGACACCGGAGACGGCACCAGCGACCCCGATGAGGATGAGGATCTGCAGATCCAGGTGCCCTAGAGCCCTGAGTCACCACCACAGGGATGTCCCATGGTGGGCCTTTGCCCACAACCACCTGTCATTGGGTGGTGACCCTCATATATATGGGGAAACAGAGGCGTGGGGAAGGCTTTGCCCAGGGATGCTACAAGCCTGCTGCCTCTTAAGAAGTATCCATTGCCCCTTGGCCACCAGCATTTCATGGGACACAAATGTGGCCACCAAAGGCAGCATCCCTGAGCAGCCCAGAAAGAGAAACTGCAGGGCAGAGAGGGGCACCTAGCCCCGTTGCAAGCCACGCTCTCCTGCCCACATTTTCTATGTGTATTATACGTATGTATGTATTTGTATATGATTTTTTTTTACCAAAAATACAGAGCCCAGAGGGGTCCAGGCTCTGGTGGTGTCTGGAGTTGCTGGTCTGTCCCCACACTGGAGCAGGGATAGGGAGTGGGAAGAGACAACATTGGGGTTGAACGTCTGGCTGCTGGTGTCACCCAACTGCCACTGCTGCCCCCACACCTGGGGACGAGCCCAGCACATGGGTAAAAACCTATTGCTGTGCCTGCAAAGCAAGAAGCAAGGAGGCTTGTGATCACAAAGGGACATGCAGGGCTGCAGTGGGCAGGTAACGGTGCTCACCCATGGGTGCAGAGGTGCTCACTATGGGTGTAGGGGTGCTCACCATGGGTGTGGAGTGGTCACCGTGGATGTAGGGATACTCACCCACGGGTGCTGACCAGCGCAGCCCAGCCCCAACAATGCAGGGCCTTGCATGGCTTTGGAAGAGCTCAGACACAACCTTATTAAAAATTAATATTTCAATGAGGTAATCCCTCCTCTGCCTTTTAACTGATTAGCTAAAAGCACGCCTCTTTGCTGTGCATGTTATTACTTGGTTTTTTTTTAATGCCCTTTTATTTCCAGGGATTATTCATTTCTTTATGGCCCCACAAATGGGACTGTGGGGCCGGAGGTGCCTGCGGCAGAGTCAGCAGAGTTTTGGGGAGCACAGAGGGGTCGGGGATGAGGAAGTGGGGACAGTCCGGGACAACAGCTTGGGGAGAGGCTGCCGCCAGTCTCTGCGGGGCGTTCACGCTGAAGCCTAATGATGTGCGCGCACGGAAAGCTCTGTGCGGGGCGGCCGGTGGCGGCTTCGGCTGGGCTGGGCTGGGCTGGGCCGGGCCCGGAGAGACGGCGGAGGCGGCCGGGGGGTGGGGGGATACCGAGTAGGGGGAGGAGCCTTGAGGGGCGGGGCTGGGGCGGGGCCGCGCGAAGCCGGGTCTCGCGGGGCCGCCGCCGCAGCGAGGGGAGCGGGTAAGGCCGGGAGGGACCCGGCGGGGAGCGGCTGCGAGGCGGGGGGGGGGGGGACTGACACAGGAGCGGGCTTGGCCGAGGCGCGGGCGACACTGCGGGGGGTGACAGCGCGAGGAAGGACGGTGCCGGTGGGAGCGGCGGGGACGTGGCGGTGATGGAGGGGTCGGGGGTGCCCGGGTTCGCGGGCGACCGAGGTGAGAGATCGGGAGGTGGGCTGGGCTGGGCTGGGGTAGGAGTTGCCCCCCTGCATCTCTGAATTCCCTCAGGGGGATGTTCCCCTCAGAGGCTCCGACCCCTCTGGGGACCCTGGGGTGCTCCCATCGCTCCTGTGCCTGGTCCCAGCGGGCCACCCCGGAGCAGAGCCCAGGGTGGGTGATCCCAGCAGCGGTGCCAGCCTGGTTCCTGGGAACACACACATGACGCAAGCCATCCCGGTGGCACTAAACAGCCTGTGGCAGTGGCTGGAGGGGGATGTTGTGGTGTAGTCCCTCTGGGCTGCTGGGGGTAGGATGGATAGGAATGGATCCCCCCTGATGCTGGAGCTTTGGGGACCTGGAATCACCGGCACAGAGCATCCTTGGGGATGGCCCGTGGTCATCCTTTCAGGGGGGATTTTTTCAGCTGGGAAAGGAACATGGTCCCTGCCTGGTCCTGCTGCAGAGCTGGGGTCCCCTCTCCTTGGGCAGTGGAATCAGGCACAGCTTGAAGTAGGGCTGAAGGGAGGCTGGGTTGTGCCGATGGGTGCGAGGTCGGAAGCCAGGGTCGCTTTGGCACTCAGAGCCAAAACATCCCGTGGCAGAGCTGGCTTGGCCAGGCACGAGATTGTTTACACTGAACCCTACTGATGCCCAGTGACTGGGGCCATGTTGCTGCCCAAGGGAGCCCGCTGGGAGGAAGGAGGAGCAGGGAGAGTGGTGATGGAGACCCATGGGCGAGGCTCAGCATGGGTGTCCCTTGGGACACAGGTTGGGGCTGGTGGTGGGTGACTGCTTGTGCCTGGCTCTGCCGTGCTGACAGGGGTTAACACTGGACTGTTCCACTCAGATGGTTCAGGCAGTGAAGGGAGGAGGAAGAGGAGGTGGAGGAGTGGGAGGAGGAGGAGGAAGATGTCAGCCATGGATCTGTCATTTCTCTTTTCCAGGCAGGATGGGCAATGCCGCTAGCACCAAGCTGGGCCAGCGGTGAGGCAGGGGGAGGGGGGGTACAGAGGAAGAGGATGGAGAGGGGGGGGCGGAGGTGAAGGCAGCCCCCCCCTCCCAAAATACCCCTCACCCCATCTGGCCATCGCCATGGCGACGAATTTTAACGACATCATCAAGCAAGGCTATGTGAGGATGAAGAGCAGGAAGCTGGGGGTGAGTGAGGGTCTGGGGGATGCGGGGGGGGGGGGGGGGGGGGGAGGGGCCATCGGTCACACAGGTGACCCACCAACATCATCACCTCTCGCGGCACCCTGTGCCCCTGGGTTTGGGTTGAATCAGTGGCATTTTGGGGGTGGGGGGAGGGTGTCACTTCTTGGTTCCCAGATGATCCATGAGCCTCAGAGGCCCCGATCTTGCCCAGTGGCACCCCCCCGACACTGGACACAATCACCATGGGAGCTAGGGAGTGTCCCTGAGCCCCCTCCCATGCCTCAGTTTCCCTGCAGACCCAGTTTTAGCACTGAGAATGCCCCATGCTGGGGGATGGGGATGGGGGGGGGGGAGTGGAAGGGGGGGGATTGCTGAGTGTGAATTAGGGGGTGAAGGAGTGCAGCATCCAGAGGTTGGGGGTCGGGGGGTTGTTCGCCCCACCATCGCTTGGAGCCGGCAGCAACGAGCATGCTGGGTAATTCCACGCTAATTAGGGAGAACAAAGAGGGAGCGGGCTTAAGGGGGAGATAAGCTTGGGGATATGGCCCTGCCATCCTCAGTCAGCAGCTGCAGGAGAGGGGCAGGGGAGATGCTGGGATGGGATGTCCCCTTGGGAGCCTTGTCCATGCTCATTAGTTAAGCACTGTAATTAGCGTTGGCAGGGGTGGGATGATGGCAGCTCTGGGATATCCCCAATGCCAGCATCCCCTCCTGTCCCGAGGGTCAGGAGGAGTGGGAGGGGTGCTGGGGCAGGGATGGATGGGGCCTTGGGGACAAGTACCCCTAGACCATGCTGTGCCACAGATCTATCGGCGGTGCTGGCTGGTCTTCCGCAAGTCCTCCAGCAAAGGGCCCCAGCGCCTCGAGAAGTACCCGGATGAGAAGTCAGCATGCCTGTGTGGGTGCCCAAAGGTGAGGGGTCCTGGGGGAATGGGGGGACCCCATGACTCTGTGAGTCCGTCCTGACCTGGACTTGCTGGGCTGGAGCTGGGTGCCTGTCACCACGTGCACTTCAGTGGGATGCTGCTGGAGCTGGGTGCAGGAACCAGGGTCTGGGTGCAATGGAAGCAGGGTCTGGGTGCAGGAACAAGGGTCTGGGTGTGCAGCAGGAACTACAGTCTGGGTACAGCCTGGGGTGCCCCCCCCCTCCTCCACAGGTCACTGACATCAGCAATGTCAAGTGCATCACTCGGCTGCCCAAGGAGACCAAGAGACAGGCTGTGGCCATTTTTTTCACTGATGACTCAGTCCGGACCTTCACCTGTGATTCGGGTAGGGGCAGCACCCAGGGGAACGGTCTGGGGGTGCTGGCGGGACTCCCGAGGCTGGCCAGGGTTGCCCAGGGGCTCTGTGGTGCCTTGCAGAGCTGGAGGCAGAGGAGTGGTACAAGACGCTGTCAGTGGAGTGCCTGGGTGCCCGCCTGAATGACATCAGCCTGGGGGAGCCCGACCTGCTGGCGCCCGGTGTACAGAGTGAGCAGACGGGTGAGCATGGAGCGTCAGGCGGTCGCGGGGCTCGGCCGTGCTACAACCCCCCACAAGCCATTTTCTATCTTTTATTCCCCTCTCCAGACCGGTTTAACGTGTTCCTCCTCCCCTGCCCCAACCTCGACATTTATGGCGAGTGCAAGCTGCAGATCACCCATGAAAACATCTACCTCTGGGATGCACACAACCCGCGGGTGAAGCTGCTCTCCTGGCCCCTCTGCTCCCTGCGCCGCTACGGGCGCGATACCACCCGCTTCACCTTTGAGGCTGGAAGGTGAGATGTCACCTGCGCTGGGACAGGGACCACCACAGGGTCCTGTTGGGCACAACAGGAGGTGGCAACTGCTGCCAGGGCAGGCCTGACACTGGGTTGATGGCCATGGCCTGCATCAGGTACCCCATGGCCAGGGAATTTTGGAGCTGGTGCCGGTCCCAGCTCAGCATCATAGGTGGAATGCAGGGACAGCACTGGAAGTGTGGGGAGCTGGGCCAGCTGCCATTAGGGGTGGTATGTTTTATCATCCCTTGGGCTTGTGAACCCCAGTGACATCCTGTGCCCAATCCCTGCAGGATGTGTGATGCAGGGGAAGGTCTCTACACCTTCCAGACACAGGAGGGCGAGCAGATCTACCAGCGTGTGCACAGCGCCACATTGGCCATCGCTGAGCAGCACAAGAGGGTCCTGCTGGAGATGGAGAAGAATGCCAGGGTGAGCTCCAGTGCTTCGTGGGGACGCAGCTGGGGGGCAACTTGGGGTGCCAGGTGTTACCCTCACCCTTGTCTCCTCCACCACAGCTGCTGAACAAGGGCAATGAGCACTTCTCCTACCCCTGCACTCCCACCACCATGCTGCCCCGCAGTGCGTACTGGCACCACATCACCAGCTCCCAGAACATGGCTGAGTCCTCCAGCTATGCCGGTGAGTATTCCTGGCCTCCCTGGGGAGCTGCCGCCCCTGCAGCCTTGCAGCAACCCCCCAGGGGAGCCCACTCTCTGCTTTGTCCCCAGGAGAGGTGTACGCGGGCGCCCAGGCTAGCTCAGACACCGACCTCCTCAACAGGTTCATCTTGCTGAAGCCAAAGTCCTCCAAAAGTGACCAGCCTGAAAGCAGGGAGCCCACATCGTCCCCGTGAGCTGGCAGGGGGGGATGTGGTGGTGGGGTCCCCCTTTTTCTTCCCCAAGGGGTGGCAAGGACAGAGGCAGCTACCCCTGTGGGTCCCAAGGGTCACCCTCTGTGCCAGGT